TACCGTACCGTACCGTACCGTACCGTACCGTACCGTACGTACGTACGTACGTTACGTACGTTACGTACGTTACGTACGTACTACGTACGTCTACTCTCTCCTCTCTCTCTCTCTCTCTCTCTCTCTCTCTCTCTCTCTCTATCTCTCTCTCTCTCTCTCTCTCTCTCTATATATATATATATATATATATATATTCTCCAAGTGTTCGAGACCTCTCTCACACAATTACAGATCGAAGAAAAAAAAGAGGAAGATCTTTAATAGAGTAAACACCCAGTATTTAAGGCAATAAATCTAAACCGAATGAACTTCTTTAAACAATTATAATTCTTCCCGAGTTCAACAATAGAAACAAAGAGCAAGCTAAGAAGGACCTTGAGGTAGTAAGCCTTCTTGATCTCAGCAGCCGATGCATCTAAGGTAACTCCCAATATGTCATAATATTCAGTCTCCTTCACCATAGCTTTGAAATCAAGCTCCCACAAAACCCCAACTTTCTAAATGCCAAATTTGAAAAGTATCATGTAATTGCACAGAAAAGACCAAGTAATCTCCAAAAGAAAGAAGAGAACCCATATATTTACGCCTTAAAAGGAAAAACCAACTATTGAAATCCAAAAATGAAACAAAACCCAGTTATAATTAAAAGATTCAAATCCAAAACATTTGAAAGGCCACCATTTTCCACGGTATAAGGAAATTCGAAATGCAAAAACAACACAATTTATACACCAAGCCACAATGTGTTTAAGCATAACAAATCTGAGTGATTTGAAAGGGAAGATGGAATACCTAGAAAGCTTGGACCAGGATCTCTTTTATTGGACGTAAATCCAAGATTGAAGATGAGCTTAATAATCAGAAGTTTAAGTATGTGAGATCCCCTGCTTGACTAGGGCCACAGCACGACTCTCTTGCTCAGGTATATTTTAAATGGTGGTGTGAGATCTGTGATGTGAGACTAAGATTCGTGAACAAGAAAAAGTTCTTCCCAACCGTTAGAAACCATGTGAACGAATGACCCCTACTTTTATTCAATGACAAGAAGACCACATTCGATTGAAACGGTCCTAATTGCCCTGGACTTTTTTTTAAATGACCAAGGAGCCTTCTTCTCGTAAAGATTGCATTTGGATAATAATTTCTAATATCGCATGACATATTTATCCCTCACGGTGAGCTTTGCACGATGTCCGGTTATACCATCTGTTTAAAAAACCGGATCGGTAATTCGAATTGTGCACATCCATACCCGTGTTGGATCGGAGAATCGATAGATTGGTTCAAAGAATCGGTAATTTTTGTTTTAAAAAATTTTCAAAAAAGCATTATAAATCTCTAAAATCTTTTAGTTTCTAAAATAAATTCGGAGGAGTACGGTTTGTATAGAGCCTAGGCTCTAAAAAATCAAATTAGAGCCTACCTTCAAGTAGTGTCCAGAAATGTGGTTTCAATACTGGAAATCATTGTAATAGCCTTAAAATATATTTTCATTGTTCTTTATAAAGTTTAAAGCTTCAAAAATAGTGTAGATCGACAGATCTATGAAAACTTGATAATCTTGAAATTGACAGTCCAAAAATGTATTACAAAACACACTATTTCCAAAACTTGAAATCCATTTTTTTGTCATATTCATGTATCTTGATGTTGAGATGATCAATTTGAGGATATTTGGGCATCAAAACAACCTCTTCTAGTGAAATTTTTGAGGTATGCAATAATTTGATTGTTTAGAGCCTCGGCTCTATATAAACTTTTTCCAATTAGGAATGGCGCATTATGTACTTTCATTACTTTATAAAAATAGGTGAATACTGAGACATTGCTTTACTTTCTGGTTGTTTTTATAATTATTAATCGTAATATTACATCAAAATAATTTACAATATTAGAAAACGCCTTCATATTGTAATATTAAAAATAATAATTTTTCATATAAAGTTAAATTAGTATCATAACAAAGTATCAAATATTTATTAATTCGCTTTACTCATCCAAAATTATCACAACCTAACTAACTATGATATCATATACTGAAATTAAAATTTTTGTTTGTATTTTAAGAATAAATCTAAAATATCTTACAATAGCATCCAATTTAAAAAATTTATTTATAAATGTAAAAAAAACATAATACATTACATAATTTATAAATAAAATAAATAAATAAAATACAAGATTTATTTATCAATGTATAATCATTAATTATAATATTATAATAAACTTTTTTTGGTATCACTCGAAATTTCTGTAATTAGTATTTTTTAAGGTTCTATAGTTTTTGTTTAAGTCTCCCTTCCTTCTCTCTCTCTCTTTTCTTCCCTCTTTCTTGCACCTAAGCCGAGGACCGCATTTAGTAGCGGCCCTAGTCTTGCTCTCTTCTTTCCCCCCTCTTCCCTCTTTGTCCTACACATAAGCTGAGGGCCTCACTTAGCAGCAGCTCCGGTCCCTTTCTCTCTGTCTTCCCTCTTTGCTCTCCTTTCTTCACTATGTCTCACATATAAGTGCAGGGCCACAGCTCCTCCTCTCCCACTTCCCTCTTCGTTCTCCTGTCTCCCTCTCGCTTCTAAGCCCAGGTCCACACCTGACTCCGGACCCAGCTCTCTTCCTTGCTCTCTTCTTTGTTCCTCTTCCTTACCCACCCACCTCAAGCACGGGGCCACATCTGAGGGTGGACCAGCCCTTTCTCTCTCTTGCCTCCCTTTCTTTGTCCCCTTACACCGATCATCAAGCTCAGGCCTGCGCTTAGAGGTGGGCCTAGCAATTCTACCCCTTTTGCCCTCTTATCATTCCTCCCCTCGTACTCGCATTTGAACCTAGAGCCGCACCTTGGTGCGAGTGTGGTCTACCACTTGCTCCCTTGTTCATTTGTCTTTTAACCATCTATTCCATTCTTTTTGTGTTGGTAGTGTAAGGACCGAGATTTCCCCGGCATAGTGACACGTGCAATGGAAAGATGAAGAACGCGTGCGGCGGTACGAAGAAGAATACACTCAGCGGTAAGGAGAAGAAAAGAGAAAGAAAATGCGTGCAGCAGTGAAACACGCGCGGCAATGAACGCGCTCGGCAGTACGAGGAGAAAGAGAAATGACTACGAACGGCAGTAAGAAGAAGCAGAAAAAAAGTGTCACTATGCACGATGCTAGTGTGAGCGACACCGCTGAGCCTGTGCATGACCCTAGGTTCCACCTCCCGGCTGCATGCTACCACACCCTCCACTTTTCCAGTTGTATGCCACTGTGTCTACCACTTGGCAAATCTGGGCTGCCACCTCCAACCCATGGACTACTTAAGCCCTTCTCTTTCTCTTCCAAACCTTGTTTTTTCACTCTTGAAAGCCAAACACTTAGAGTTCTCAGCCCCTTTTGTGCCCACTGTTGAAGAGCTTAAAGTGGACTGCGTGAGAGAATTTGGGGGCACCAGTGCACACAAGTAAGTAGATCAAACACCTTGTATGTCCTTAGTCATGAAAGCATGAAATTAAGTATAAAACTAAGCTTGAGCATGTATGTGAATTGTGAGAAGAAATGTGGTTGCATGTGTCCTGCTCTTTTTTTCAACAAATTGGGCCCTCAATTGCATGACAAAACGAGCATTGAAATTTCTCTTGTTAGCCATGAAAATTTGTGAAATAGTGTTGCCATGCATCTAATGTAAGATGAAAAAGATTTCATATTGATAACTACCATAAATTGGAAGTAGTTGATTGTTCTTGTGGTATGCCATGACTATACTGTGAATTTCCAGGGAAATTACATGTTCTTATAATGAACTTTTGACTGATCAAATGATATCCAAATGCCTTCAAACTACCTTTATTTGAAAGATATGTGTTTCTAATTAGACTTTGTACTTGAAATCATCCCTAAATTTCTTATAGATTGAAAGTTCTGTCTTTGTTTATGGGGACATATCATTATTATCATATTACAGCAGATTTCAGAAATTTCATTCCTATTGTACTGCACTTTTAACTGGCCAAACGGGGTCCAAATGCTTTCAAACTACCTCCAATTGAAAGATATGTGTGTTTACTTTGAAGTTGGCTTTGAAACTATATCAAAATTGCTCTTAAATTGGGAATTATTATACGCTAGTTAGTGGGGACAGGTTACTGTAAGAAATTGCAGAAATTTCATAACTATAGTCCATTTTACACTAAGCTCTTAACTGATCAAATGATGCTCAAATAACTTCAATTTTCCTTTGATTAAAAGATACATATGTCTATTTCAAGTTAATGTGAAATTTCTTATGAATTGGATACCATGCCTCCTTTCACATATGTATATCAACGATGGGAATGGTAGTGAATCCCAAACTGTTGAATGATTCATGAAAGGTGGTGCACTGATTTATATATTTCTAGATAAAGCTTAAACCCTTCATAAAGAGATTGAAATTATATGTCACGAGGCAATGAATATGCATGCTTATGATATCGTGAATGCTCATGAATTCCTGAAAAATAGCAAAGCATGAGTGAATGAATGCTTGAGTATGCATGTGAATAGTTGCAATTAGGTGTGATGTGGACCACTATGCAATGGGACACCCATTGGTAGTGGGATATTGTTATGATGTGACTGTGATATGGACCACTACTCGATGAGACACCCATTGGTAGTAGGATACTGTTGTGATGTGACTGTGATATGGACCACTACGTAATGGGACACCTATTAGTAGTGGGATACTGTTATGACGTAACTATGATACGAATCGCTACGCAATGGGACACCCATTAATAGTGATACTGTGAGACTTCTGATATAAGGCACTACGCAACGGGTCACCCGTTGGTGGTGCGATATGTACCGATATGATAAATAAGCAATGCAAGCAACTGAGATCTTGCCCCGACCCCCATGATAGGAATGGGGTTGGGATGTGAATGTGAATATTTGGGAGGGTCGTGCCCCCCGAATCTATATGGGCACTACACACCGAGTTACCCAGTGGTAATGTAATGCCCTCTCGTCTGAAAGGCATAAGGAGAAGGTTGTATCTTACAAGGCCCTCGCTTATCGAAAACCCCAAAGCACGCTGGGAACTGTGTGCGTGTGTGAGGACATTACGAAATGGGACACCCATTTGTTATTGTTCTCCTTCCTGAGTGAGGGTAGAAGTTCCAAGTTACAGAGATTAGCTTAGCCTGATCGATGGAACTTCTACTTCAAGAGTAAGCAACTCCAGTCTCTGCCTGTATGCATTATGCATTTCGTCTGAGTTTCTAATCTTTTATTGCAATAAGAGATTGAGTAATTGTTAGATCATGCAATATGTAATGTCCTGATATCTGAATTATACTTCTTCTTACACTGCTAAAGAATTGTGATTCATGACTCCACGTTGTGAGTACTGTATAAATTGGAGGAAATGTCTATAATTGTCATTATATATAGGCAAGAATGCAATAGTGTTGATCTACTTTTTAGGCTTTTAGCTCATCCCTTTTATTTTCATCTATGTAGAGTGATAACCTCTGACTCTTGAGAGCGAGCAGCTGGACATTTTTGGTAGACAACTGAAGCTCGATGTTGGACAAAGGAACTACTTGATAGTAGGTGTTTGGTGGCAGTGCTACAGAGTTGGTTTGACGAAGTATTGTAATCTTGTTGTTAGGCTTGTAGTGCCTTGAACATAATTGTAAAAGAATTTCTGGAGAATGTATATGTATAATGTGGTTTTATTCTGTTCAGTTTTGTGGAGCTTGGTGAATGAGTTTTAAAATTTCTTTCGTGATTTCCTTTGATTCTGCATTTCTAAATGCGGTGAGCCACTCCCACCTGAGTGGCGTTCGCCACCTCCGATCACGACTTCGCACTCTGTCGCCCTCCAGTAAGTACGGTAAGGGTCAGGGGTCAGGGTCGTGACAGTTATGGTATCAAAGCATCCAGGATAGGATTATTGGTCTAAAGAGTCATAGGAGTGTCTATAGAATAGTTCTGAATAGGCTAGTAACTGGGTGCTCCTGTTTTTAGGCCAAAGATGACAAGGACTCGTGCCAATAATACGAGTTCCAACAATGAGAATACCGAGGCCCTCGGTGAATTTTTCAAGACTTTACGGGCCATGACTCAGATGATGAAGGATAATATGCCGGTCCCGGCTACCCCTACCCCATATCAGACTGAGGGCTAATAGAAAGATTTAGGAGGTTGGCACCTCAGATGTTCTTGAGGCACGGGGGAGTGGAGAAATCCGAGTGGTGGAGGAGACAGGTGGAAAAGATATTCAATGTTTTGCACTGTACAGATGAACAGACGGTTAGGCTGGGAACCTTCATGTTGGAAGGGGATGCCAAGCACTGGTGGGGCTCAGTAAAGCAATCTTGGGAAGAGTCAGGGACAGTAGCAACTTGGGAGAATTTTCTGGAAGCATTTAACGAGAAGTATTTCCCTGACTCAGTGCGAGAGATGAAGGAGGTAGAATTTATTGAGCTGCAGCAAGGAAGATTATCAGTAGAACAGTATGCGACGAAGTTTGCTGAGCTTTCATGTTATGCACCGCACATCATCAATATGGAGGTGCGAAAGGCAAACAAGTTCGAGAGAGCCCTCAAGCCCAATATAAGGGGAAAAATAATATTAGCAAACCTCAAGACCTTCTCCCCTTTAGTAGACCTTGCCATGAAGATTGAGAGGGACTGTGAAGAGTCCGATTAAGGAAACAAGGAAGAATGGGTTCAGCACAATCTGGGAACCTCGGGAGGAAGGTTCGACCACCTCAAAGGAGAAGTTTTGGGGGAAGGAACAATCAGGGCAATATGAAGATTCAAAAGACCTTCCCAGGCGACATAAGAGATAATCGACTCCCGGCTTGCCCTTAATGTGGGTTAAGCAACTATTCGGCGGTTGAGTGTTATAAGAAGACAAAGTCATGTTTTCGATGTGGCAAGCCTGGCCATCTGGTCAAAGACTACATGGTAAAGGGGCCAGAAAACCGATCGAAGACTCAAGGTCGGGTTTTATTGCTCACAAAGCAGGGCGTCTACCTCTTTGATCCGAGGTACGCTCTCTGTTTGTGGTTTGGAAGCTAAAGCTATGATTGACCCTGGATCTTCTCACTCTTTTGTTGCACCTCACTTTGCACTCCACATGAATGCTAGACCTGCATTTCTTGACTGGACATTGGTAGTATTCACACCTATAGGGGAATCTATAAAACTGATATGGTTTATAAACATTGTGGGGTTTTGCTTGAAGGGTGTGTTCTACCTATAGACCTGATAATTTTAGACATTCAAAACTTTGATGTTATTTTGGGCATGGACTGGTTGTCCACACATCATGCTACAATAAATTGTTATGATAAAACTGTAACCTTTAGACACTCAAACCTGCCTGAGTTGAACTTTATTTACATTAAGGATTTCCCCGCTCTACACCTTATTTCTGCCCTTTGGGCTTCCTGTCTGCTGGCCAAAAGATGTGTTGGGTACTTGGCCTATATAGTAGAGAATCGGGATGTCCAATTCAAGTTAGAGGAGATACCAGTGATAAGGGAATACCCAAATGTTTTTCCTAAAGAATTAACCTCTTTGCTTCCAGTTAGGGAGGTAGAGTTTGAAATAGATGTGGTCCTAGGTGCTGTGCCCATCTCTAAAGCCCTTTATAGGATGACCCCAGCCGAATTAAATGAGCTGAAAGAACAATTACGGGAATTATTGGAGAAGGGGTTCATCCGACCCAGCGTGTCACCTTGGGGTGCACCGGTCCTATTTGTGAAAAAAAAAGATTGGTCTTTAAGGTTTTGTATAGATTATAGACACATCAGGTCACGGTAAAGAACAAGCACCCCTTGCCTAGTATTGACGACCTTTTTAACCAGCTTCAAGGGCCCCCAGTATTTTCCAAGATTGATCTCCGATCGGGCTATCATCAATTGCGGGTTAAGGAGGAAGATGTTTCTAAGACCGCATTCAGGACTCGATAAGTAATGCCGTTTGGGTTGACCAATCCCCCGGCTGTCTTCATGGACCTATTGAATAGAGTTTTTAGACCCTTTTCTGGATGATTTTGTGGTGGTCTTTATAGATGAAATTTTGGTTTATTCAAAGAACCTGGAAGAAGAGAAGCACCTAAGAATGGTTCTCCAGACTGAAGTAAAAAAAGTTGTATGCTAAGTTGGGTAAGAGTGAGTTTTGGCTTCCTAGCGTGACCATCCTTGGGCACATTGTTTCTAAAGATGGGGTCGTAAATTGAAGCCGTACTTAAGTGGGGAAGACCGACAAATGTGTCAAAGGTCCAAAGTTTTATGGGACTGACGGGCTACTATAGACATTATATAGAAGGCTTTTCAAAAATAGCACTTCCCCTGACTCGCCTAACCCAAAAAGAAGTGAAGTATGTGTGGTCAGATGATTGTGAGAAAAGTTTTCAAGAACTGAAGAAGAGATTGACTACGGCCCCGACACTGATCTTACCCGAAGGAAACGAGGACTTTGTGGTTTACACTGATACTTCACATAAGGGGCTTGGATGCATGCTGATACAGCGAGGGAAGGTCATAGCTTATGCCTCTAGACAGTTAAAGCCGTATAAACAAAATTACCCAACTCATGACTTAGAACTCGCAACTGTAGTATTCACCTTGAAAATCTGGAAACATTTGTTGTACATCATTTTTTATGTACTTCCATGAGCCCATGTGAATAAAGAGAGAGCCGGTGATAGTCTGGTCTCGCGGGTTCATGAAACACCTGCAGTCTATGATTGTGCCGAGAAATAAAGACTCCAGCCTAGTGACCTGAGTTCGACACCTCAACACTGAAGAAGGACCCTCCACTGTAGCCCCATGATAGAGGCTGGGGCATCAGACCATCGCCATTGTGCTCATAATGTTAAGAAACCCCCGAGGAATAAATTTGGGCTCAATCGGACCCCTTTAAAAGGCTTTATGCTCATGCGGCCTCGCAATTAGTGGGTTTTACCTTAGCGCGATACAGCTTCACCAAACCAATCCCGAAAATGGGGCCGCGTCAATGTTTTCGGTGGCAACTTCTCCAACCTATGGTGCCCTTCTCTAAATCTGACAGAGCTCAAATGTTGACATGTTCTATGTCATGTCAACCCTGCCATTTTGACCTAAGGCACTCACTGTCGTGACTGGGAACCCCTACTATTATGAAAAGAAAGGCAGCTGGAGAAACCAAGGCCGAAAAAAAGCCCAATAGGCACCGGATTTGGTGAAGCATAGCTTGAAATCTAGGCTGTGGATAAACGAGAGGAAGAGTTCAAAAGAACCGCCTCGCACAAAGCTACATTCTGGTGTGACACTTGTAGTCAATCCCTTGTTAGATGAATGCGAGTCCTTAGGTCACTAGAGAAACAAATCCAGTCAGTTGCCGGAATCCCTTTCTCCCGTAACCTTCCAAAAAAAGCTAAAGATGCAAATCTACAACCCCAACTTGGTACAAAACGACTGCAGTGACCTCCTCTTTGACATGCAAGCGGAGCCAGGGGCTAAAACGACGCATCTCGGACATGCATTGGCAAACAAAGTTCATAAAACTTACTGGACATTCACCCCGGGGAAGAAGGCCAACATAACACGATTGTAGGGCATCAAAATACTCATAATCAAGAGGAGAACAAAGATATATTGTTGAAAAAGTCGAACAGTTGCCGCAAGTTGCAAGACCAACTTCCAAAGTCTTCCCATGGCGGAGCAGCATGCATGCAGCGGCGGTCTCGTCATTCGGGCAAAAGATCACAGGGACATTTTGATCATTTGCACCTAATTTTTGGATTTGTTTTCAATTTTTTTAATTGTAATTAAGCTTGACTTTTGAACATTCACCCATGTTTGGTGAAACCTCTATATAAGAAAGCTCAGCTCACTTGTAAAAGAGGAAAAATTTGCTCCAAAATGTTCCCCTTTTGGAAGCTCCAATACCCCAAAGGCTGGGAAGAATCAAGGCTAGTTCATTCTTACTTTGTCTTATTTCGTGAGTTCCTAGCCCGTTCGGGAGAGAAGAGAGGAAGAGAGAGAAAACTTTGTAAGGGAGGGTACCCCTGAGTGTGCGGTCCTGCGGACACCCCAGTCGCGCGGGTCATCCCATTCCCCCCAAGTCGAGTCACTCCTTTTCTCTCTCTCTCTCTCTCTCTCTCTCTCGCTCTCTTTCCTCCCACTCCCACAGGGGTGACCCCGTCTGTGCGAAAGCCCCCCGTTCGTCCGCAACCCCGCAGACATATCAACCTGTGGGATTCTTCCCTCGACTTCTATCCACACCCCCTTTAGTGGCCAGCAAACCCTTTTGAAAGGGCAACCAAGGAAGAGGGACATTAGGATTCCATCCCTATAGTACGGAAAGAGTGAAAGGAGAGAGAGAGAGATTGAGAACCTGAGGCAGGCTCCCATTCAAACCATGCTGACAAGCAGCCGGAGGGCTTCGTAATTGCTCTAAGAGGGCCATCCACTCGGGCACATCCTCGATCCCCAAAGCGGCGTAAGAGCTATTCATGCCCCAGTCACAAAAATCTTTCTCACTGTCGACCTCTTATCCACAAGATGGGGGGCCCACGCGACCATAGCACGCCAAACCTCCACGTTTGTTTGAGAGAGGGTTTCCTCATCCCCGCACGAAAGGAAACCAGGACCCCATCGACATCAACATTGCCTATATGGGGCCCAATTTAAGGTATTTACAAATCATAAGAGCCTCAAGTACCTATTTTCTCAAAAGGAGTTGAATACAAGGCAAAGATGGATGGATCTACTGAATGATTATGACTGTACCATCATTTACCACCCGGGCAAGACTAATGTGGTAGCAAATGCTTTAAACAGGAAGCCCGTGGTATCAGTTGCCCATCTAATGATTCGAGAAATGAAACTGTTAGAGGATGCAGTAGAGTGGCACCCAAATCGACCCCTTAGTGATGGGGAAGGAATGACTGTGTGTATAAGAGTGGAGCCCCAGCTCGTTCAATAGATTCGAATGGCACAAAAGGAAGATCCTCAACTTATGAAAATTCTCGTAGAAATAAAGCTGAGAAGAAAAGATGATTTCTCTGTGAGCAGTGATGATCTGTTAAGATTTTAAAGATTGAGTATGTGTTTCAAATGATGAGAATGTAAAAAGGGCTAGTTTGGAAGAAGCTCACCATTCATGTTATATGGTACACCCTAGGAGCACTAAAATGTAGCAGGACATGAAGAAAACTTTCTGGTAGAATAACATGAAAAGAGAAGTGGCACAATTTGTTTATAAGTGCTTGACATGTTAGAAAGTGAAAGATGAACATCAGAAACCCGCTGGACTGTTGTAGCCCTTGCCCGGAACAAATTACTACGGACTTTGTCTCCAGCTTACCTAAAGCGGGTTCCGGACATGAAAGTATTTGGGTCATTGTGGATTGACTAACCAAAGCTGATCATTTCTTACCGGTCTGCACAAGCTATACCCAGAATAAATTGGTCCAGTTATACCTTAAAGAGATCGTGAGATTTCATGGAATACCTGTTAGCATCATGTCCGACAGGGACACTAGATTTACGTCAAGATTTTGGAATAGTCTTCAATCAGCTTTGGGAATAAAACTTACTTTTAACGCTGCTTTTCACCTCCAGACTGATGGGCAGCCAGAGAGAACCATTCAGACCCTGGAAGACATGCTAAGGGCGTGTGTCACTGATTTTAAAGGAAATTGGAATGACCATC